TGTTAGCCAGGATGGTCTCGATCTCTTGACCTTGTGATCCTCCTGCCTCGGCCTCCCAAAATACTGGGATTACAGGCATGAGCCACTGCGCCCGCCTGATAATTTTTATTTTTAATTAATTAATTAATTAATTATATTTATTTTATTTTTTTTGAGACGGAGTCTCACTCTGTTGCCCAGGCTGGAGTGCAGTGGCCGGATCTCAGCTCACTGCAAGCTCCGCCTCCCGTGTTTATGCCATTCTTCTGCCTCAGCCTCCCAAGTAGCTGGGACTACAGGCGTCCGCCACCTCGCCCGGCTAGTTTTTTATATTTTTTAGTAGAGACGGGGTTTCACCGTGTTAGCCAGGATGGTCTCAATTGCCTGATCTCATGATCCGCCCGACTCGGCCTCCCAAAGTGCTGGGATTACAGGCTTGAGCCACTACGCCCGGCCTTATTTATTTTTTTGAGATGGAGTCTCACTTTGTCACTGAGTGCAGTGGTGCTATCTCGGCTCACTGCAACCTCTGTCTCCTGGGTTCAAGTGAATCTCCTGCCTCAGCCTCCCAAGTAGCTGGGATTACAGACACCCACCACCACACCCAGCTAATTTTTGTATTTTTAGTAGAGATGAGGTTTCACCATGCTGGCCAGGCTGGTCTCGAACTCCTGACCTCATGTGATCCGCCTGCCTTGGCCTTCCAAAGTGCTGGGATTACAGGCGTGAGCCACCACGCCCAGCCACTTAGTTCCATTTTCTGTCCCTGAAGAAGGACCCGCCTCCTACTTAGCCTCCCCCAAGGGACTAGGCAGCCTCCCGTGACTGTCAGCTCTCTGCCCATAGTTCCCTGCACACCTACCTGTTTTCCACTGGTGCCACCTCTGGCTTCTCTTCAGATCTGGGCATCACAAACTCCGGCTGGGGCCTCGCGCTGTGGACAGAGAGAACGAGGTGATGAGGGTGACCAGCCTGGCCAGGCCAAGGGGCTCTCGGCTAGTACTGGCCTCTCTGATTTTCCTGTCCCTGGGACCTGTTTTCCGAACCAGTGAGACGTTCCCCACCTTTGCTATTTGAGAAAACTTCTGGGACCAAGACTCTGTCTTATTTGCCTCTGTTTCCCCTCAAAGCTGACATCGGATCTAGCATGATAAAGGCTGTTTTTTTTTGCTTTGAAACAGGGTCTTGCTCTGTTGCCCAGGCTGTAGTGCAATGGTACAATCATGGCTCACTGCAGCCTCCACTTCCTGGGCTCAAGCAGTCCTCCCAATTCAGTCTTCCTACAAGTAGCTGAACTACAGGCGCATGCCACCACACCTGGCTAATTTTTATTTATTTATTTTTTTTTGAGACAGAGTCTTGCTCTGTCACCCACGCTGGAGTGCCATGGCACGATCTCGGCTCACTGCAACCTCCGCCGCCGGGTTCAAGTTCTTCTCCTGTCTCAGCCTCCCAAGTAGCTTGGATTTCAGGCACGCACCACCACGCCTGGCTAATTTTTGTATTTTTGGTAGAGATGGGGTTATTCCATGTTGCCCAGGCTGGTCTCCAACTCCTGTCCTCACATGATCCTCCTGCCTCAGCCTCCCAAAGTGCTGGGATTACAGCCTCCCAAAGGGCTGGGTGAGCCACTGAGCCCGTCCTGACTTTTATGCTTTATGGAGGGTGAAGTCTGTGCTCAACCTTTTTTTGCCAAGGGTCCCTCATCTTGCACAATAACCTCCAAGGTGGTTGTTAGCATTTTATTTGCTTAATGTAACCTTGCAGCTAAATGCGGGAGCCAGGATTTGAACCCAGGTCTGAGTTTAACGTCCTTGCCAGAGGGGTAGCATCTTAAGCCCTGCACAGGACAACGGTCCCTGCTGCCTGGAAGTCACTGGGTTTTCCTAACTGAGAGTCCAGCTCAGCCCCCCACTGCCCCGACCCAGCCCCAGCAGATGCCACTCTGCACACACCTCTCCCTCCTGGCCTTCAGTCTTTCCTCTTCGTATCTGAAAGAAAGAAAAATATGTCAGAGACGACCTTCCTTTTTCCCCTGAGATACGCTTTCTGGGGGAATTCCTTTTCCTTTTCAAGCAGAGAAACAAGCTCTCTTTTTTCTTTCTTTTCTTCTTCTTCTTTTTTATTTTCTTCTTCTTC